TCCCCGACCAGCTTCAAGCCAAAGTCCGCCGACGTCTTGCCCCGCCCCGCCTCCGGCCGCGACCCGGCCCCGCACCTCCTCCCGTTATTTATTGTACAGACGCTGCCGCCTCAAATAAAACCACGCTGCCAGCGGCCGGCTCGGGCGGCGGGAGGACGCGCGGCGGCGGGCGCCGGCAGGGGGAGCGGGAGGCGGCGGGGCGGGCGGCGGGGCGGTCACGTGACGGGGCGAGGCGGCCCGGCCAATCCTGAGCTGCGTTGCGTGAGCGGAGGGCCGCCATTGGCCGGAGCCGCTGGCGAGCCTGCCCGGCGACCTGTTGCTAAGGGCGCCAGAGTTCGGCGGCGGGCGCCCGGGAACGCTGGTCTCGCGAGAGCTCCGCTCCCTCTCCGTCGGCGGCCGCAGCGCGGACCGGCGGGCATGGACGCTGCCGGAGACTACGCTTGGCCGCGGGCCACCTCCGAGCTCATGCTGCTCCCGGTCACGGGGCTGGAGTGCGTGCGCGAGCGGCTGCTGGCCGGTGAGGCTGCGTTTGCGGCGCGCGCCCCGGGCGGCGTGGGGAACAAAGGGGAGCCGGGGGGATGCCCGGGGGAGGGTCCCCGGGGGGGGATGCCCGGGGGGGGATGCCCGGGGGGGGGATGCCCGGGGGAGGGTGCCGGGGGGAGAGTCCCCGGGGGAGGGCGCCCGGGGGTGCGGGCTGTGGCCCGGCCGGAGCGGCCCAGAAGACAAGCCCGCTGTGGCTGCCGAGGCCGCCCGCACCCGCCCTGACGTGGACGGGCTGGGCCGCGGGAGGTGCGGGAGCCCGTGGGTAGGCGGCGGGGGGCGGGTGCGCGGTCCTTGGATGAGCCGGGGGGCTTGTTCCTCCCGAGAAGACGGGGCAGGTGCCTGGATGAGGCCCCTCCATTGGGGGCGGGTGAGCCTGGGGTGGCGGGGCCGGGCCGGGGCGGGCCTGGGGGACGGAGGCGCCTCCCTGGGAGCTGGGGCCGCAGGGCCTCTGCGCGGGATGGGGTCTGGGAACCCGGGACCCGGTGAGACCTTCCTGAGCGGGTCGGTGCGGGAGGCGGAGGCCGAGCCCCTCCCGAGATGGGTGGGTCCACCAGGCTTCTCTCCGCCCCGCACCGCCCGCTTTCCCTTGGGCTCCGCTGCCGGAAGGGGGCGCCCTCCCCTGGCTCCCGGCGTGGGTCTCTGTCTCCCTGGACGTTCTGGGTCAGATCGTGGTTGGGAGCGGCCGCCTGCCCTGTCGGTGCCCAGCAGCACCCCTGGCCTCCCCGAGGGGCAGTCCCCCCCCAACCGCTGGAGCAGACTCCCCACTGTGAAGGCTTACAGCCCCTGTGCCCCTCCCGGACCTGCCACCAACCGGCATGGCCACTGGTTCGCTGCTGTTCATTGTCTGCTTAGTTCATAGAGCCGCGGCCCCCAGCCTCGTGTGGGCCCCGCCCCCTTGATCATCTCCATATCCTTACACCCCCCATGTATAATTCCTGTTATTAAAAAAGTAAACTCCTACTCACCGAAATGCATAAACGTCACAATATACATTTATATACTGTGTATGAGGCCCCTAGAACCGTAAGAAATGCAAAAAGTCAGCTAATATCTCATTCTCCGATGCCCCCCTTAAAAGCATGTTGCCCCTGAGGCGTGTGCCACGTTGGGAACCGCTGCCGCGGAGCAAGGCCTGGGCTTGTCTCCCACGGCTCAGCACACAGCTTGCTGTCTGGTCTGTACCGATGCCCCCAGTGCTGGTGGAGTGTGAAGATCGAGTGCAGACTCAGAATGGCGTGAGACTGGGCGGGCATTTCAGATTCAGACGTGACGTTCTGGACGAGGACTGTGGTGGGGTTTGCAAACTCGAGGCCATGAACTGTGCACGCTTGGAGACAGCCCTGCCACAGTGTGGGCTGTGCGTGCGCACGTGTGTGCGCGGGCACACACACACACACACACACACACACACACACACACGCCCCCTGCCCCCTGCAGGGAAGGAGCTCCTGGAAGGCAGGCGCTCTGTGGCCCCAGGGGAAGAGGTGGTCTCAGTGGACAGCCTCGCCCGCTTGGCGCAGGGGGGAATCCATGGACAGGTAGGTGAGGTAAGGGCGAGGGGCTGAAGCTGAGGTTCCTGTCTGAAGCAAGAGAAGTGGTGGGTGAGGCGGCGGCGGCTGTGGGATTGTCCCGTACACTCAGGCCCCGGTGGAGAGTGTTGTCGGTCCCCGCGCCCCCCCCCCTTCTTCTTGCGGCTCCTCAGCTTCCGGGGAGGCGTCTGATTGGCTCTTTGCACCTGTGCAGGCGAGGGGCCGGACATGCTGGTGTATAGCCTGGATTTCGGGGGCCACCTGCGGATGATGAAGCGAGTGCAGAACCTGCTCGGCCACTACCTTATCCACGGGTTCCGGGTGCGACCAGAGCCCAAAGGAGACCTCGATGTGGAGGCCATGGTGGCCACGTTCGGGAGCAAGGGCCTCCGAGTGGTGAAGATGAGCTGGGGACAGGGGCGCTTCCGGGAGCTCTGGCGCTCCGGCCTGTGGACCATGGCGGACTGGATCTGGGACGCCCGCTGGCTGGAGGGGAACATGGCCCTGGCCCTGGGCCACAACTCGGTGGTGCTATACGACCCCATCATAGGCTGCCTCCTGCAGGACGTCCCCTGCACAGACCGGTGCACGCTCTCCTCGGCCTGTCTGATCGGGGACACCTGGAAGGAGCTGACCGTCGTGGCGGGTGCCGTTTCCAACCAGCTCCTGGTCTGGTACCCGGCGGCCGCGCTGGTGGACAGCAAGCCCGTGGCCCCCGACCGGCGCGTCAGCGGGCACGTGGGGGCCGTCTTCAGCATGTCCTACCTGGAGAGCAAGGGCTTGCTGGCCACGGCGTCCGAGGACCGCAGCGTGCGCATCTGGAAGGTGGGCGACCTGCGGGTGCCCGGGGGCCGCGTGCAGAACATCGGGCACTGCTTCGGGCACAGCGCCCGCGTGTGGCAGGTGAAGCTGCTGGAGAACTACCTGGTCAGCGCCGGGGAGGACTGCGTCTGCTTGGTGTGGAGCCATGAGGGCGAGATCCTGCAGGCGTTCCGCGGCCACCAGGGCCGTGGGATCCGGGCCCTCGCCGCCCACGAGAAGCAGGCCTGGGTGGTCACCGGCGGCGACGACTCCGGCATCCGGCTGTGGCACCTGGCGGGGCGCGGGCACTCGGGCTCCGGCGTCTCGGCTCTCTCCTTCAAGTCCCCCAGCAGGCCGGGTGCCCTCAAGGCTGTGACGCTGGCCGGCTCGTGGCGAGTGCTGGCAGTGACTGACTCGGGGGTCCTGTACCTCTATGACCTCGAGGCCAAGTGCTGGGAGCAGCTGCTGGAGGACAAGCGCTTCCAGTCCTACTGCCTCCTGGAGGCGGCCCCCGGGCCCGAGGGCTTCGGGCTGTGCGCCATGGCCAACGGGGAGGGCCGCGTCAAGGTCGTCCCCATCAACACTCCCGCTGCGGCTGTGGACCTGACCCTGTTCCAAGGCAAGGTGCACAGCGTGAGCTGGGCCCTGCGTGGCTACGAGGAGCTGCTGCTGCTGGCCTCGGGCCCGGGCGGCGTGGTGGCCTGCCTGGAGGTCACGGCCGCCCCCTCCGGCAAGGCCATCTTCGTCCAGGAGCGCTGCCGGTACCGGCTGCCGCCCAGCAAGCAGCGCTGGCACACGTGCAGCGCCTTCCTGCCCCCGGGCGACTTCCTGGTGTGCGGCGACCGGCGGGGCTCCGTGCTGCTGTTCGCCTCCCGGCCGGCCCTGCTCCAGGCGCTGGGGCTTGGGGGCCGGGCTGAGGCCGGGGCCGGGGCCGGGGCCGGGGAGCTCGGAGGGGGCGTTGACGGCGAGGGGGAGGCCGCAGTGATGGAGTGGGGCCCCGTGTCCGTCCTGCGGTCCCTGCATGGGAAGCAGGGGGTGACCTCGGTCACCTGCCACGGCGGCTACGTGTACAGCACCGGGCGCGACGGGGCCTACCACCAGCTGCTGGTGCGCGGCGGCCAGCTGCAGCCCGTGCTGCGACGCACCTGCTGCCGGGGCATGAGCTGGGTGGCCGGGCTGCGGGTGATGGCCGACGGGAACACCGTCATCCTGGGTTTCCACGCCAACGAGTTCGTGGTGTGGAGCCCCCGGTCGCACGAGAAGCTGCACGTGGTGCGCTGCGGCGGCGGCCATCGGTCCTGGGCCTTCTCGGACACCGAGGCGGCCATGGCCTTCGCCTACCTCAAGGACGGCGACGTCCTGCTGTACCGGGCCCTCGGGGGCTGCACCCGGCCGCACGTGCTCCTGCGGGAGAGCCTGCACGGCCGCGAGATCACGTGCGTCCGGCGCGTGGGCAGCATTGCGCTGGGGCCCGAGTGCGAGCTGCCCGGCTTCCTGCAGCCGGACGCCCCGGAACCCGGCAGCGAGGGGCCCAGCCTCATCGACATCGTCATCACGTGCAGCGAGGACACCACCATCTGCGTCCTGGCGCTGCCCACGGCCACGGGCTCCGCCCACGCGCTGACCGCCGTCTGCAACCACATCTCCTCGGTGCGCGCCGTGGCCGTGTGGGGCGTCGGCGCCCCGGCTGGCCCCCCGGGCCTGACCGCCCGCGTGGTGTCTGCGGGCGGCCGGGCTGAGATGCACTGTTTCAACATCATGGTCACCCTGGACCCCGGCGCCCCGAGCCGCCTGGCCTGCCACGTCATGCACCTGTCCTCGCACCGGCTGGACGAGGACGGGGACGGCCAGCGCCGTCGGCACCGGGCGGTCAAGGTGGACCCAGAGACCAGGTGATGTGCTGCCCGGCGGGCGCGGGCGCGGCAGGCGGGGGCCCTGCGTGACAGCCCTGACTCCTGCAGGTACATGTGCCTCGCCGTGTGCGAGCTTGACCCGCCGGACCTCGGCCCCCTCGTGGCTGCAGCCTGCAGTGACGGAGCAGTGAGGTAAGGCTCTGGTGGGGCCAGGAGGTGGGGTGAGGGCGGTGGGAATGGGTCCTGAGCTGCCCCCCCCTCCCCCAGGCTCTTCCATTTGCAGGACGGGGGGCGGCGGCTGCAGCTCCTGGCGGAAACCTTCCACCACCAGCGCTGTGTCCTCAAGGTCCACTCCTTCACGCACCAGGCACCCGGCCAGCGGCGGTGAGGGCTGCGCGGTGGCTGCCTGGGTCCTGGGCGCCTTTGTTGCTTTCTGTCCCCCCGACTGACCAGCCGCCTTTCCCGCCTCCCAGGAGACTGCTGCTGTGCAGCGCGGCCACTGACGGCAGCCTGGCCTTCTGGGACCTCACCACGGTGCTGGACCACGGCTCCGCGGCCCTGGAGCCGCCCGCAGACCCTGGGCTGCCCCATCGTGAGTAGCTGGCGTGCCGCTGGGCCACCCCCCTTTCCTTCACCGCGTGGCAGGCGGGCTCTGACCGCCTCTTCCTCCTGCAGAGCTGGGCCCCCCCTGCCTGACCGTCCAGGCCCACAGCTGTGGTGTCAACAGCCTGCACACCCTGCCCACGCGCGGGGGCCACCTTGTGGCGAGCGGCAGCGAGGACGGCTCCCTCCACGTGTTCGTGCTCGCCGTGGAGCTGCCAGAGCGGGGCGAGGCTGGGGGCGGTGCCGAGCTGGCGCCCCGGCTGCAGGTGCGGGAGGAGCACTCGGTCCCCTGTGCACACGCCGCTCACGTGACTGGCCTCCACCTCCTGAGCCCCAGCCTCATGGTCTCCGCCTCCATCGATCAGCGGCTGACCTTCTGGCGCCTGGGGCATGGCGAACCCACCTTCATCAACAGCACGGTGTACCACGTGCCGGACGTGGCCGACATGGAGTGCTGGCCCGTGAGCCCCGAGTTCGGTCACCGCTGCGCTCTGGGGGGCCAGGGACTCGAGGTTTACAACTGGTACGACTGAGGTGCCCGGGCGGCTGGCACTTGGGCGCGGGGCCTGCTCCCAGGCAGGGAGGGGATGTCTGTGCCGGGCCGGGTGCCTGGAGGGGACGTTGCGGGGGGAGGGAGGACGCAGCCTTGGGCTCCCAACTTCGGAACAGGCGCTGGAGGGGAGCCGAGTGCCGCCTAGGCAGACAAGAACACCCATGCCTCGCACAGAACAGAGCTCGGTAGGTTTATTAGTCTCCACATCGCTAGCCGGCGGAGTCCCAGGCGGTGACGATCATGAACAGCAGGCACCGGCACGCGTGCGGCCTCAGAGGCAGCTCAGTGGGGGCAGGCCCAGTGTGGCCAGGCCCGCGTGGAGCACTTCCTGCACAGCCCGCAGCAGCTGCAGCCGGGCCAGCATCTGACCAAACAGGTGTGGTTGAGGCTCCTAGAAAGAAAGAGAGCGGCCTGCGGGTCCCGTCCTTTGCTGCCCCCCCCCCCCCCCCCCCGCCCGCCGAGCCCTTACCCCCAGGACGTGCACCCGGTTATAGTAAGAGCTGAAGTCCATGCTGAGCTGCACCAGGAACCTGCACACCTGGAAACAGGCGGAGTCACTGGCCCGCCTTCGCCCTGTGCCCAGACCCGAATAAAGAGTGTGCGTATGCCGGCTGCGCCTCACCATGTCTGTGCGGGCCCCGGCCAGGGCTGCGGTCCGGCTCAGCAGGTCCGGGAAGGGGAGGACGCTGTTGAAGAGCAGCAGCCACTCGCCCTGTGGGAAGAAGGCTGCTGGGGTGGTGTCCAGGCCGCCCCAGGGAGCCACTGCCGGGAGGGCACTCACCTCCTCACGGAGCAGAGAGAAGTCCAGGCTGCTCGCAGGCGGGAAAGGCGGGTACAGACCTTGTTCCAGGCCGCGCTGGTAACCCGCAAAGAGCGTGGCGAGGCGGGCACAGTTATACAGGACGAAGGTGCCGCTCCGGGGGCCCTTGGTGGACATGCTGTCGGCCAGGTCCAGGAGCAGCTGCGGAAGGCACAGCTGCAGAGGGCCAGCGGCCACCAGGCCTGCCCCTGCCCCGTCCTGCCGGGCACAGGCTCACCTGACCCTGCGGGGCTTTGCTGAGCATCTCAAACTTGATGGTGGCCGCAGAGAGAATGCTGAAGGTTTCTGTCCAGGCTGGGTCTGTGGGCAGAGGCGGCAGTCAGGCTGCAGGCAGGAGCCTGGGGGGTGGGGAGGGGTGAGGTGGGGGGCAGCCGGAGCCTCCCAGGCTCACCTTGGGCCAGGTCCCTGCCGTGCTTCAGAGCCGAGGCCGCACGCACCTGTGCCAGCCGGAGCCTGCGTGGGGAACAGGGTGAGAGGAGGACCGGGCAGAGCCCGGCCCGGGCATCCCGCGGCCACTCCCGCTTGCTCGCTCACTCGTAGTACTCCGGCGCGGTCAGGCTGCCGGGCGCCCCAGCTGCTCTCACCGGGCCGCACACCAGGTGCTTCTGTCGGGGAGAAGCGGGCTAAGCCAGCTGGTGGCGATCAAGCAATAAACCCTCCAGGACAGTCCTGCGGGCTCCCAGCCTCTTCCCATCAGGCTTAGTGCCGGCTCGCCCAGCCCTCCACACCGTTCCAGGTCCCAGGGTCCTCAGACCCGCACACTCCAGTCTGTCCCTCCTGAGCCCATCCCCGCCCACCTGCGCCAGAGGCGCCCACTCGTCCAGCTCCCGCCAAAGCAGGTCCAGCTGCTGCTGCTGGGCCTCCTCCTCGCCGCTCAGCACGTGCACGGCCACGCAGCTGTCCACGGCGCCGGGAGCGGGAGCCTGCGGGAGGGGGCTGTCACCATTACCACCGGGACCGGGCGCCTCGCCCAGGCCCGGGGAGGGGTCCTCGGGCCCGGGCTGCGCGGCTGCTTGCAGGTCCGCCAGCTGGGCGAGCAGGTCCTCGGTCACTGCAGGAGACACGCCCTGGCTAGCGGTCCGGTCGCCCCCCCACTCCCCCGTCTCCCTCCCACTCTAGGAATCCAGGGCCTACCCAGGCCGCGGTCCAGGGTGGGGTCACAGCCGGCTGCGCGCCCCCGCCCCCCCGCCAGCTCCTTCAGGCACACGCCCCCCAGGTCGCCGGCGGGCAGAGCTCCTGGATCCCCGGCCGCGGTGACCTCCGCCAGAGCGCGGCTCCGCAGGGCTTCGGCCGAGGCCGGCTCCGAGGCCGCGGGCCAGTCCACCCGCAGCTGCTGCAGGAAGGCCGACAAGTGCGGGTCCTGCACGGCGGGCGCCAGGCGCACCTTCACCCTGCGGAGCGGGGGCGCCGCTTAGCCCGAGCGCCCGGCGCGGTCCGCCCTGCTCCCCGCCCGCAGCCCCCAGCCCCCGGGCGCGCTCCTCCCCCGCCCCGCTCACCCGTGGGCGCGCAGAGCCCGCGCCAGGTGGTCGGCCACGAGCACGGCCCGCAGCTGGCCCAGGCGGAGCGCGCGGGGGGCGGCGCGCAGCGCGGGGCAGTGCAGCAGGACGCGCGGGGCCCCGGCGGCGGGCCGGGCGGGCGCGGCGTAGGCGCCCACGGCCCCGAGCACCCGCTCGAAGACGGCCGCGCGCTGCAGCCGGAGCGCCAGCCCCGCGGGGGTCGGCTCGCAGCGCAGCACCGGGGCCACGCCGGGGCCCTGCAGGTCCGCCAGGGCACGGAGCACGCGCTCGGGCACCTGCGGGACAACAGGCCGGTGAGTGGCGGCGCTCCCGGGCCCCGCCGCCCCCCGCGTTTAACCCCGCGGCCACCGCTCCCGGGCCCCGCCGCCCCCCGCACCTGCCCGTCCCCGAAGCGCGCCCGCAGCGCCTGCCGCGGCGCCAGGAAGTCGCGGGCGCGCAGGTGGCGGGCGCGCGTCTCCCTGAACCACACGGGGCCGCCCGGGCCCAGGGCCGCGTTGAGGGCCCCCAGGGTCTCCTCCAGCCCGAGGCGCCCCGTCGCCATAGGGACCGGAAGGCGCGAGCGGAACCGGAAGCAAATGTTGGAGGCCGAGCTTCCGGGAGGGCGACAGGCGGGGCGGGCCGGCCCCGAGCGGGCAGGTGCACGGGGGGAGCTGGGCGCCGCCGGGCCGCCGGGCCCGCTCAGTCCCGGTCCGACCCTCGGGTTCCCCGGGCCCGGGCCTCTGTCGCCACCCGCGCCCCGCGGCCGGAGGACCGTGACGGGGCTCTGCGCCCGCACTTGGCGCCCGAACACGCTCCCCGCCGGCACGGCCCAGAGCCCTCGGGAAGGGAAGGGAAGGGGGTGTGCGGCGCCGGTTCCTGCGGCCCCTCCTCCTCCGGGGCCCGGCAGGTGGCCCTCGGGCTCGGTCCGGGCCGCCCGGGGTGAAAGCGTCTCCTTCCCCTCGCGCCGCCCAGAGGGAGCTCGGGCCGGCACCTGGGTTTCCGCTCCAGTGACCCCCGTTTCCTCTCCGAAACCGAAACCGGCGCCGCGCGGGGCGCGCAGAACCGCGCTCTGCCCGCAGCAGCGAACAGGGGCCCGGGGGGAAGCCGGCCGAGCCCCCCGGCGGTGCCGAAGCGCGCGGGGCGGACACGGCGCCCGGAGTCTAACTGCGCCCGCGGCGGGGCGGCCGTGTCAGCCCCGCGCCCTGTCCGCGCAGCAGCGCGCGCCTCCGGGCACTGGCGCCGGGACCGCCGGGCTCCGGCTCCTCTCGGCACGTGGAGGTTCGTCCCCAGGCGAAGGGCTTCCGCGAGCGAGCTGTCCGCGGCCCCGGCTCCCCGGCGTCTATGGCTCCTTCCGGCCGGAGGCGCGCCGGAGGCAGGTGCGGCCCAGGGGGGTGTCCGGGTCGGGATCGCCCGCCCCTCCCGGGCGGGGACGCTGCTCAGGCAGGAGAGCAGGGAACGAAATCCAAGCGCAGCTGGAATGCTCGGAACAACAGCTGCTTTTGGGATTCCGTTGCCCGCGGTCCAGCCATGGGAGGGGGTGCCCGGGGCCAGGATAGAGCCCGTTTCCGTCCCGGGAGGCACCCCTCGGAGGAGGCGGTGAAACCCAATCTAGTGGGAATGAGCTGCTCACCTGGCCCCCAAACAATAGGGGGGCGGCGGGGACCTCCCCGGGGACCGAGTCCCGAACCGGATTACAGCCGCGGGGAGGTTCCGCGCAGCCCGGCTGCCTGTGGCTGCTGGTGCCAGGGAGCCAGGGCGCCGGCGAGGTGACTGCCGGGGCGGCTGCAGGGCCGGCGGGGGAGGAAGCCAGCCGCGCACCGGCCGTGGGGACACCGCACCCGGCCCTTTGTCCGGGGGCGCTACCGGCTCCAGCTCGAGGGCCCCCGATGGCCCCCGACGGCAAGACCCCCAGGAGCCGACTGAGCCAGTCTCGTAGGTACCGAGCCTGCCGCCCGCCGGCCCCGCGGAGAGCAGACCGGCACCACCATCCCCCCGAGGCCACGGCACTGAGCGCGGAGATGCCCGGACCCGCGAGGGCGCCGGAGGCCCGGGGACCGGCTCCGGCCGAGGGCGGGGCAGCTCCGAGGACAAGGAAGGAGCGAGCGGGGTCGAAGCCGCGCCAGCGGCCGCCGCCGCGTGCAGCGCCTGGTCCGCTTCGGCCCGCCAGGTCCCGCCGGAGCAGCCACCGGGGCTGGCGACATCCCCTTCCGATCCCTCGGCCGCAGCCCGGCCACTTTAAGAAGAGCCGCCGGCCACGCCCCCGCGCTCCGAGGAGCCAATCCACGCGCGGCCACGCCCCGAGCGGTGCGCGGTGGCGACGCCAACGGTCGCGCGGGGGACGGTTGGGAAGGGGCGTGATTCCGAGGCCGCGGGGAAACCCGAGCTGCCGCCGCCCTGGAAACCCGACGCCCCGAAGCCGGGATTAGGGGCCCGGGGGCCGGCGCCCCGCCCCGGGCAGGTGCGCGGCTCCGCCAGGTGCGCCCCGCCCGGCCCGGGGGCCCCGCCGCTGGCTGAGCCGGGCGCCGGGCCGCGACGGGGGCCCAGGTGGTGCCCCGAGGCCGGGCCCGCCCCCAGGGGCCCGGCGCCCCCGCGGCGTTCCGCGGGGCCCGGGGCGCGGCGGCGGCTGGTGCGGACGCGGGCCCCGCCTCCCGGGACGGGAGGCCCGGCGGCTCTCTAGCCCCCCGCGTGGGGCCGGCCGAGCTGCGCGGCGCCCTCCGGCCGCAGGGGGCGCTGTGGCCGCGGGGCTGGGCTTCGCCGCGTCCTCGCTGACCCCGCTTGTCGGTTCACCATGGCGGCCGCGTTCGTGCTTCGCGGCCTGGGCAGAGCAAGGCCCGTGCTTCGCCCGCCGCCCGCGGAGCTGCTGCGGTGAGTCCGGCCCGCGTTCTGTCCCGTCCTCCCCGGAAGCCGGTCCCGCGGCTCCTCGCTCCCGCGCCGAGACCTGACCGTGTGCCCCGCAGGGCCCCGCGGCGCGGGCACCGGCTCACGCCGGCGGACGACGAGCTGTACCAGCGCACGCACATCTCCCTGCTGCAGCGCGACGCCCCGCACGCCGCCTACGTGGAGAGCTACAGCAGCCGCGGCTTCGTGGTCAACGGGAACCGCGTGTTCGGGCCCTGCGCGCTGCTCCCGCACTCGGTGCTGCAGTGGAACGTGAGCGCGCCCCGCCCGCCCTGCACCCCGGGCTCGCGTGGCCCCGGGAGCGGCTCTCCGGGAAGCTGCGTGGGTTTGCTGACACCTGGCCCCTCCCCGCACAGGTAGGGTCCCACCTGGACATCACGGAGGAAAGCTTCTCGCTCTTCTGGATGCTGGAGCCCCCGCTAGGTGAGGAGGAGGGAAGCGCGGGGGTGATCCCAGCCCCCCCAAACGCCCGCGCGGCCCGTCAGCAGGCCTAGCTGCAGCCTGCCGTGTCCTCCTGCCCTAGAGATCGTGGTGGTGGGCACCGGGGACCGCACCGAGAGGCTGCCCTCGCGGGTACTGCGCGCCATGAGGCAGCGGGGCCTGGCCGTGGAGGTGCAGGACACGGTCAGTAGGGACGTGGGGGCTATGGGGAGGGCAGCGCGGCCTGGTCCTAGCCCGGCTGATGCTGGCTCTCCCTGCAGCCCAACGCTTGTGCCACTTTCAACTTCCTGTGTCACGAAGGCCGAGCGACTGGAGCTGCTCTGATCCCCCCACCTGGAGGGACCGCGCTCGCTCCTCTGGCCCAAGCTGCAGAGTGAACAGGGACCCACCCGACCTTCCCGGAGCCCCTCCCTGTAGCCTGTGCCGAGTCTGCCTCCCTGAATTAAACTCTTATCTGCTCTGTGTGGTGCGTTGCTGGCCAGGGGCTTTGGGCTCAGTGGGCCTCGTGAACAGCCAAGGGGCCCTTCCAGGTGGGCCGCCCGGCCCTCCTCCCAAACCACAGGTCTGTCCACACTCACCTGCAGGCTGGGAGTGACCTCTCACCACAGGCTCTTTATAGATAGGATCCAGGCACCAGCATGAGGGGCTCAGCCTGGACCATGTGGCCAAGCTTTGGGCCAGCAGAAGGCTCTGGGTGCTGGTCCAAAGCCCCATGGTCCTGGCCCCTAAGCAGCTAGTCAGACGCTGAGCTCGAACCCTGGGCCCTCGTGAGCCGTGGCTGCTCAGGGCGGCTTGTGAGCTCCCTCAGGAGGGATGCTTGGAACCAGCCCCTCCAGATCCCTGGAGCCCCCCTAACCCCAGGGAGAGGCCTCCTGGAAACGGTGCTGTGTGTGGTGCTTGTGTGAGGGGTGCAGTGGCAGAGCCCCCCTGCCTGCTGACCTCAAAGACCACGCATCACTTTTCTCAAAATTTTATTGAAAAACCAAGGAAGGGACGATGCTGGAATCCCTCTTCAGAAAAGCCGCTTCTCATACCTGCAGACAGAGGACCAGCTGTGAGGGGGCAGCAGGCAGGGACCCCCACCCCCAGGACGGGCGGGAGGGGGCGGTCGCTTACGAATGGAGGCCGTGGACACCGCCTTCCACCTGCGCGGAGGCCGTCCTCTTCTCAAACTTGAGCTCCCCGGAGTACATCATGGCTCTGGAGGACAGGCAGCTGTGGGCACGGCCTGGCCAGCCCCTCTGCCCACGTGCATGCCCCCCTTACCTGACTTGGGTTAGACTCTTAGCACCAATGTCCTGGCAGGAGTGCTGGATGCCGGCAATCAGGTAGGGGACAAACTTGTGGATGGACCCCTTGTCCTGCACCGCCCCAGACACCCCCTGGGCCACCTTGATCTTGTCAGCTTCGCTGCAGGGAGGAAGAGACAGGGTCAGCACGGGAGGGGGCGGTGCAGGGGGAGAAGGTGACGTCCCAGTCCCACCTGAAGTAGCGGTTCTGGCTGCTGAGGTGCTTGTCCATGGCGTCGAGCGAGCCCATGCCCCGGTACTTCTTGAGCCGGATGCCGTCGGAGAAGAAGTACTCGCCGGGCGCCTCGGTGGTGGCGGCCAGGAGGGAGCCCATCATCACTGGGGAGAGAGGCAGTGCTGGGGCCCGCCCGCCGCGGGCTCGGAGCCCTGCCCGCTCCGCTCCCGGCCGGCCTCACCTGTGGAAGCCCCCAGGGCCAGGGCCTTGGCGATATGGCCCACGTTTTGGATGCCCCCGTCAGCGATGACTGGAACACCGAAGCGCCGCGCATACTCGGACACCTTGTACACTGCCGTGGCTTGGGGCCGCCCGCAGGCCAGCACTGCGAAAAGAGGGGGGCAGATGGGTGGGTGGAGGTGGTGGGGATGGGCAAGGGGCCCTGTGGCCACAGCTGCGGCCAGCAGCGTTCAGCTGCACCTGCACCGGGACCGCAGCCTGGCTGAGGACCAGTCACGTCGAGCAGCGGCTCCTCTGTCCCAAACGGCACAAACAGCTGTGATGGCCACCACTCACCCGTGTGCACGTGCACGTGTGCAGGGCCCAGGGCAGCCCAGGAACATGCAGTCAGCAGCGGAAAGCCCCGCCCACTGGCACAGGTGGGTAGGGTCACTGTGCAGTTAGTCCCCGAGGCCCGCCCGCCCTCCCTGCACGGCGGCCGCTTGGGCACGATGGGGAGCGGTCCAGTGGGAGGAAGAGGGTGCTGAGTTGGTCCTGAGCTGTGCCCGACTGCAGCTGTGGGCAGAGCAGGGCCCACGGGGGAGACCTGCCCTAGAAGCACCGGGGAAAGGGGGCTGGTTTTTGAGGAGCCCCCAAACCACGGTCTGTCATCAGTCTGCCCTGCCCACCCGTCAGCATCACAACCCCGGGAGCTACAGCTACAGTCAACCAAGCAGCCGGGCGTGGGCAGCTGGCCGGGCCGGTGGGCCGGGCCGCACTTACTATAGCAGCCCGTGACAGTGGAAGGGCATTTGGGGCTGTGGGACTTTATGTCTGGAGGGATCTTGGGAGCTGCTAAATGAAACAAACAGACCAGAGTTTAGAGAGGCCGAGCAGAGCAGGGAGGCCAGGCGAGGGGCAACGGCGATGAGGGGAGACGAGAGCTCGTCTTGCTTACAGCATGTCGCCCGTCCAGGGGCCTGCTGGCCCGGGCTGCCCCTTTCAGGACCCTCTCGTGCCCCGAGAGCTCCGGGCTCAGGCCTGTGGGCTGAGCGTCCCGGTGAGCCTCACCTTCCTGGGTGATGCAGATGGAGCCACTGCCCATGCCCACCCGCAGGGCGTCCACACCGGCGTCGATGAGGTTCTTGGCCTGAGCAGCGGTGACCACTGCGTGAAGAACAGAGGCTCAGGGGGTGCAGGTGGGCACCTCCCCTCCTGGCCCAGGCCCTCCGTGCCCCCGGCCTCACCATTGCCTCCGATGACCTGGAGGCTGGGGTACTTCTCTTTGATGTACTTGATCATGTTGATCTGGAAGATGGAGTTCCCCTGGGAGGAGTCCTGGAACAGGAGGTGCCGGTGAGCGGGCACGGCGGCAGCCCCCCGCTCCCCCTGCCCCGGCGGCGGCAGCGCACCAGCACGACCACGTCCACGCCGGCCTGGGCCAGCAGGTCCAGCCGGTACTTGTCGTCCTCGTGCGTGCCGATGGCCGCCCCGCACAGCAGCTGCTTCTTGGTGTCCTTGGAGGCCAGGGGGTAGTCGCGGTTCTTCTTCAGGTCTGTCCGCGCAATGATGGCCACCAGCTCGTCGTCTTCGTTCACGATGGGCAGCTTCCCTGGGGCAAAGTGGACAGGCGTCAGGACCCGGGTGTCCGTGCCAGGAGCCTCCCTGCCTCCAGGACTCACCCTTCTTGCTGCGCTGCAGGATCTCGTTGGCTTCCTTCAGCGTGACGCCCGCAGGGGCCACCACCAGGTCCTCTCTCTTGGTCATGATCTAGACGGGAGGGGAGCGAGAGGAAGGGCCAAGTGGCGACCAGACCTCCCAACAGGCCTCCCTCTGCGCCAGACCACCCCGCACATGAGCCCGCAGTCTGCAGCACTCTGGTGAGCATGCGCATGGAGTAGAAATGACACTACGGCCCTAGCGGGTGGGGCTCAGTGCACAGTGTTGGCCTGCAGACTGAAGGGTCCCCAGGTTTTCCACTTAGGGGGAAACATGCCTGGGTTGCAGGCTTGATCCCCAGTGGGGAGTGTTCAGGAGGCAGGCAATCAGTGATTCCCTCTCATCATTAATGGTTTTTCATTTTATTGATTTTTTTACAGAGAGGAAAGGAGAAAGAGAGTTAGAAACATCGATGAGAGAGACACATTGACTAAGCTGCCTCCTGCACACTCCCAACTGGGGATGTGCCCACAACCAAGGTACATGCCCTTGACCGGAATCAAACCTGGGACCTTTTAGTCCTCAGGCCGACGCTCTATCCACTGAGCCAAAACAGTCAGGGCTCATCATGGATGTTTCAGTCTTTCTCTCCCTCTTCCTTCCTCTCTGAAAATAATATACATTTTAAAAGACATGATGGTGTGTGACAGTGTTAGAAGGGCCGCACCAGACCCTTAGCAGAGGAGGCTGAGGGTCCCTGAGCACTGCTCTCACCGGGGTTGGCAAAGAACACAGCAGGCACGCTGGCCAACCCCGGGCAGCCCGAGAGCCTCCCTGGTGTGCGCAGGGGGACGGGAGGTGGAGCTCTACGGGAGGATCAGGCAGAGACTTCAGAGCCGCCACTGAGCCAAGAGGCTTCTTGTCGGCAGCCTGGTTGCTGGAACGTGGCTCTGCCGCGCACCTACCTCTTCTAAAAACCGGTCATGCTCCTCCTCCTTGAGAAAATCGATGTCCCGCGAGGAGATGATGCCCACCAGGCGGCTGCCCATGCGGCCCGTGTCGGTGATGGGGATGCCGCAGAAGCCGTGCCGGGCCTTGGCCTCGAACACGTCCCGCACGCGGTCCTTGGGGCTGAGCACCACGGGGTCTGTGATGAACCCCTGCTCGTATTTCTGGAAGGAGGAGAACGGCAATTCCCAGTCACCTTCATCGGCTCCGTCTGAGAACAAGTTTGTGCCAGCTCCCCCTTGGCCGTGCCAGGGGACCAATCAGACCGGCACCTCACACCAGGGAGAGGAGACATGGCTGGTGGTAGGTGCTGCTCACTGGTCCCCTTCTGTTGTCTGAAGACCCCCCTCAGGCTCTTACGCTCAGGAACTCAACTCCACGGTGGGAAAGGCCTCAGGTAGGACCAAAATACCCCCACCCTGCCTCAGTGCCATCCCAGGGGCTCTTGCCCATGACCCTTGCCCTCTGACCTTTACTTTCCGAACTTCGTTGGCCTGGAATTCAGGTGTACAGTTGTGGTGGATGAAGCCAATACCACCTGTAAGCTGTAGAATGACAAAACGAGGGGAAAATTGACACGAAAAAGAGGCACGACTGCCTTTGGGGAAGAGACCTGGCCTGCTCCTGCCCTTCCACCCAGGGTGCTCACCGCCATTGCTATGGCCATCCCAGCTTCCGTGACCGTGTCCATGGGTGAGGACACCAGGGGCGTTTTCAGAGTGATCTTTTTGGTCAGAGCAGAGGTCAGGTCCTGAGGATACAAGGCCAGCTAATGTGAGAACACAGCCCACACCACCCATGATGGTGCCACGTCTCTCACAAAACAGGAGCCCTGAATGGCCTGCATGCTAACCCACTCCACAGAACCCCCAAAGCCCAATCTGGGGAGGCAGACCGAGGTTCAGCAGCACACACACACACACACACACACACACACACACACACCCGTCTTAATGCTGAGGACCCAGGTCCTGCCATACTCACCACCTGGTCTGCAGTGAAGTCGATGTATCCAGGGAGAATGAGAAAGTCACTAGGAGGGCGGGGAGCGAATTGGGGGTAAGGCTCAGGCTTAGCGTAGCCAGAGACCATCCCACGGGCATGTGGGCAGA